CCTCCTGTGGACCAGGGGCACCCTGTGGGAAGGCCAGGGCCCGTGCGTCCTCTCTGGCTCTGCTCCCCCTGAGCGCCCAGCTCCGGGACCTGTCCGGCAGTACTGCCTGCTGTGGTTGGGACGGTCCCCGCCACCTCAGACCCTCGTCCGGGTTCTGACACACTCGCTGCACCGGTTGGCTCTTGAGAAGCACTTTTTCAAGGGGAAGTGTGGAGCAGGGCCACAGTCAGCTCTTCAGAAGCTGAGGTCTAAGCTGAGCTAAGTCCATGTCTTATTGATCATGCGATGGTGATCTCTCATTGATCATTCCTTTCAGTGGTGAGTCTGCCCTTTTCTGATACTGAATGAAATAATGAATRAAACCTGTATTTGATGTTTCTTAGCCCCACACAAACCTCCATCTGGTCTTCACTTTGACCACATCATTTCTGTACAGAGAAAGGGCYGTCCTGCCCTCCTGCTGCCTCTTGTCGTCCCAAGGCCAAGGGTCGTGAGCTGGGGTGGCGTCCTGTGGTCACACCCCAGTCCACAGGCCAGGGTAGAGGCCTGGGCTCCTACCTAGATGTTGACTCTGGGAAAAGTGAATTGAAAAGTGAAAAAAATATTCAGCAATTTGTATGTTTTAAATGTCCTGTTCATTCTATCTGACAGGTAGTGACTTYTGCTGCTATTTAATACTCTTCTATTTTTAAATTGATAACTTTGCTCTGAAATCCAAATCTGAGTMAGTTTCAGTTGGTTGGAAGGACACCGTTTGTGACTCTCAGAGCCTCCCTCCTGGGAGTCCGTGAAGCCCCGCCACAGGGAGCTTGTCCTCCTGAGGCGCCTGGAAGCCCCCCCGTTTTCCACCCATTTAGTGCGAGGCTGAAGGCTGTTGGAAACACACTCGACAGAGTAATTGTTGGAGGTTAATATTAAGATTTATTTAAAATCATTCAGTTAGATGGAGGAAAGTGAGGAGAGGTTAGCGTGCTGTTTGGGGCAGTGTTGTCACCCGGCCAGCACAGCAAGCCACCRGCCTCCTTGGGCCCTGCCCCTGCCTCTCTCTGGGTGAGGCCCTAGGGAATGCTTCCCAGTGCACAGACGGGAAAGGCAATCAGACCGCAGCACTGGGGACATTTAATGTTTACTCAAAGTTTAAAACTGTAGGACTAGAGTCACAATGGTGTGGGTGCAGAGCACCGTCTCGCTGCTGTGGCCGATGAACCTCAGTTGTCATTGATCTGTTTTGAGCGGGAGTGCGGTGCAGACAGGCCCCACCTCCCCAGGCAGGTACGCTGGAGCTCAGCCCAGAACCAGCAGCTCCGCTCACGTCCACATTTCGTGGGGAATGTGCTGTGGCCTGGGAACAGAGAACTGCGTGGCCTTGCTCACAGCTTGGTCGGACGTAAGTGGATTGTCCTGAAGGTGGCCAGGATCGTGGAGCTCTCTCACCCTGCCGCTGACCATTGGCAGGGTCCACACACCACTGTGGTGAGCTCAGCTTCCCTGCTGACTTCAGGCCGGCTTTGCCACCTCAGAAGTGTCCTCTGCTCTGGACCCTGAAGGTGCGAGTGGAGATGTGGGGAGGTGCCGCCCGATTTCTGCAGAGCGCCTCAGGCTCATCTGTGGCACAGCACGCCCCTGGCCACACAGCCACCTGCCTGGCTTTGCCTGCCACTTGCTCCAGAGGTGACAGCACTGACCTGCTTTCTGTCTTCAGATTCACAGGCCCTGCACCTGTGCACAGTGTGGCCTCCGCCTGCGCCCCCTACCAACCCTCTGCACAGCCGTCCTACCCGAGTCCCGCGCCCACGTCACCCATCACCCAGCTGGGCGGCCAGCTCGGGGCCATGCAGCTCAACAGCCACGGTAACAGCCTCGTCGTCGGCACGGCCTGCCTCGGGTGGGGTCCCATGACCGAGTGTTCTTCATCCTCAGGCAGCGCCAGCCCTGGCGTACCACGGGGCACTGGCACACGGGTGTTGTGTATGGCTGTGACCAGTCTGCTTCCTGATGGCCCTTCAGATGACCACAGGAGCCTCCGCACTCTCTACGTTTAATGTCCAAAATACTGATTTCCTGAGGAAACATTAGAACACTGAGATTATTTTAAGAAATGTGAGGGGTTTTAAACTTGTGTTGTTTATGGTGGATCCCCAAAATAGAAATACGATGCTCACTGCCCACAGTGCATTCAAACTCTGTGTGTCGACCCTGGGGGAGGAGAAGCTGGGGCCTTGTGAGGCGGCACAGTCAGGTTCTGAGAGCTGCCCCGCAGTCGGGCTTCGCTGGATAAGTCTTGGAGCTGTGAGGGTCGCTCAGAGGTAGAGCACCTGCTTCCGGTGCAGGAGGCCCTGGGTTGAGTCTCCCCAGAAGGTCTCTTCTTAGAGAAGCAGCGCAGCTTCCACGTCCAGGGGAACAGTCTGCTTTCAGCTCTCTCCAGTGTGACTGGGGGTTAGCAGCCCACCCTTCTCTCTGGTTGCAGAAATCAATTGATGGCGAAGCCCAGGATGAAAATGCCTAGTCAAACGTGCAGATTACCTGAGTAATACGTGAAACAGCAAGAGTTTCTCGTGCCTTGGCTAATGCCCCTGGGTGAACATCAGTCCTGTTCTCTCACCAAAACCAGCTCTTGCCCCCTGTGAGCTTTCCAGGGCCCCCGAGTGCCCCCCTTCACGTCTCTAGGTGAGGCACCAAGGCCCAGGCTGCGCTCAGCGGCGCTGTCTCCCGCAGGTCCCAGCGCGGTCCCCGCCGGCCCTCCCGCGTTCCCAGGCCCTCCGCAGCCCGCGCCGCCCTCCATTCTGCAGCCCGGGCCGCGGGTGCTGCCGCCACCGCCCACTGCGCTGAACGGCCCTGGTGCGCCCCCGCCAGCTGCAGGCACAGCCTTCCCGCCGCAGGGTAAGGGCGGGTGTGGGTCCTGGGTTTCCAGAGCCAGTGGCTCTCTTTCGGGTGGTGGAATCCCAAGGCCAGGCCAGCCGGAGTCCGCACTGCAGCCTGCGGCAGGGGCCTGGGCCCAGGAGCCGTGACCCTCCTTTCCCTTCTTCTAGCTGCCGGCTTTGGYCCGCAGATGGGCGCGCCCGCGTCCTACCCTGGAGGCCTCGCCCCGGGCCCTGCGCGCATGGCTGGGCCACAGCCCCCGAAGCAGCTGGACCCTGAYGCTGTCCCCAGCCCGGTGAGTACCATCTCCCTGGAAGGACTCCTTATCCATTAGCATCCACCCGCCCTGGACTCCTCCAGGAGTCTGGACCCTGAGTCTCCATTGCCGCAGGAGGCAGGCTAGGGAGAGCACAGCCTGCGGTGAGGGCCGGGCTATAAGGTGAGGGGCAAGGCCAGGTAGCGGGCAGGCTGTGTGTGTGKGGGGGGGGCCTCGGAAATCCCCCTGTGGGAGAAGGAAGGGTCAGCCCCGTGCTGGTATGGGGGTCTCAGCTTCCTTTACCTGCTCTTGCTGTGTCTCGCCTCAGATCCAGGTGATCGAGAGTGACAGAGCAGCCAGAGGGGGACAAGTGTATGCCACCAATACCAGAGGCCAGGTCCCGCCCCTGGTCACCACCGACTGTGTGATTCAAGACCAAGGTACTTGTTTTCAGGGGTTTTACTGAGTGTTCTCACCAGGGTTGAAGCAAACACTTGGGCAGTGCCCTCAGCCTGGGGACCCCAGCGCAGCTGAGAACCGCCCCCTCAGCTCCCAGCAGTCTGGAGCTTCCTGATCTGTTCCTGAAGCCTCTGTTTTGAACCAGCGTCTAAATCCATGCCCCCTACCCCAGGAGGGAGGGCCTAGGTGCAGGTCAGGCTGAGCCCCCAGGGTTTTGCCGTGGTGCTGTCTACAGTGGTCCCCCTCACCTGCCCTGTGCACTCAGCTGAGCTGCTGAAAGTGCTGGGGATTTCCACCAGTGTTGCTGTATCAAATGGAGATGTCATCTAGCAGGGTGGCACAGTTGCTTTCCAGGCTTCTTAGTCTAATTAATTCCACATGCAAACGCTGGAGTGCTGCAGGCTCCACTTTTCTCCTTAGCTGTGCACCCTTCCCCTCGCCCAGCGAGAGCCCCACGTCCGGGGTCTGGCAGGACTCCACGCCAAGGCTGGCCTCCACATCTACCTCTCCTCCTCCCTCTCCTCGCCTTTCAGCTCCTTCTCCTCTTCCTCTAGCCTTTCCTGAGGTCCCTTGGCCTTCTTGCCGCTACCTTAGTTCTAGCCTAGGTCATACTTTAGACACCTTAGTTCTAACCTAGTGTCACCATTTAGACACCTTAGTTCTACCCTAGGTCATACTTAGACAACTTAGTTCTACCCTAGTGTCACCATTTAGACACCTTAGTTCTAGCCTAGGTCATACTTTAGACACCTTAGTTCTAGCCTAGGTCATACTTTAGACACCTTAGTTCTAGCCTAGGTCATACTTAGACACCTTAGTTCTATCCTAGGTCATACTTTAGACACCTTAGTTCTACCCTAGGTCATACTTAGACACCTTAGTTCTACCCTAGGTCATACTTAGACACCTTAGTTCTAACCTAGTGTCATACACCTTAGTTGTAGCCTATGTCGTTCTTTAGACACCACTGTGATCCACAGCCCTGACACCTGCCCAGCCCGGCAGACTCGGGGGCCAGGTCTGTCTGTCAGCGCTGCGGGTTGCTGCCTCAGCATTATGGGAGCTGGACCTACCCTGCCCCGGCTGCTGATCTCCCCCTTGCTCCCCTTCAGGACCCTTCCTGCAGCCTGTGCCTCCTAGTTCCTCAGGCCAGAGGGTGGGTTCCACTGGTCCTCTCTCCTGCTCTCCCCTGTGGCCCACCCACCCACCCATCAGAAACCTCACTGCATCCTCACAGCCTGCAGAGCTGGCTGCTCCTCCAGATCCGAGGCCTCTGTCCAAAGGCTGTGGCTCTCCCTTCAGGAGGGCCCTGMGGGTTTTCCGGGAGTTCTTCCGTCACACTCCAGGTGTGCGCTGGTAGGCGTCCCAGGGTGCCCTGATGCTGTTGGGATTCACGTGTTCAGTTGGGAGATGTTCACTTCCCAGATCTCAGAAGGCATCTCCTTCCTGTAGTGGGTGTGCTCCAGGGCTGTTAACTAGGGGAGGAAAGGATAACACTGCCTCCTGATCTTATTAGGGAAGGGGAGAGGGGAGAAGGAAGGAAAAACAACATTAAAAAAAAAAAACAACACAAACCTTCGAGCCACGAGGGCTTGCTCAGAAGATGAGGAGCCTGCTGCCGCGTCGAGAGCCGGCCTTGCCAGGCGAGGGTCCTTGAGGGCCACATGCTTTGGGTTCTGGTGCATCATAAATCTCAAGATTCTAGTTTTCTATTGATTAAAAACTAGTTTTGTGTGTCCAGGTATGCAGGGAATGAAACATACATTAAAATAGACTGCAGTACTCTCAAAAGTAATTTCCTGGTACAAGTAGAATTTTCATTTCTCAATTCAGTTTCTAATTTTACAAAAAATAGAGTCAAAGTGAAATCCTGTTTGACCGAGTGTCCCTTGATAGCTCACAGCAGCTCAGTGTGGGCAGGAGGTGAAGGGTCATCTCCAGGATGCTGTCCTTCCAGGTTTCTGTGCCTCTGCGTTTCATCTTTCACTGAGCCCCAACACTTGCTAAGCCTAGCGTCCATGTAAGACCCTCCTTGTGGAAAATAGTAGTAGTCATTACAGTGTCTCCTCCTGCACAGTAGAACTCAGAGGGCTCCCTGGGAGACGGATTGCAGCGTGTTTTAGGAATGCATGTTTTACACTACGGCCTTGCCTAAAAGACCTTCTGGGACATTTAATGTCAGGGCAGTTCTTCCAACCGAATGTCAAGTGTTCCTCCTGCGTTTCAGGCCATGCCAGTCCCCGGTACATCCGCTGCACCACCTACTGCTTCCCCAGCTCCTCGGACCTGGCCAAGCAGGCGCAGGTCCCGCTGGCTGCCGTCCTCCAGCCCTTCGCCACGCCCCCTGCTGACGAGGTGAGAGTGCGCCCCCATCACCTGGGTGCTTCCAGGACATTCTACACCTCCTGTGCACCCCGTGCTGATGGGTACCCTCTTGTCCTGTTGTGGCCATGCACACGACAGACCAGGTGAGACCCCACCAGGAGACGACTCAGTGGCCTGGCACAGCCCCTTCGCCAGGGAGACKACAGGCTGCTGTCCCAGTTTACAGCCTGCTGCGAGAGCTCCTGGGCACAAATTCCCGAGCACTGAAGAGGAGGCAGCATGGGTGGTGCATCTGTTCATACAACCAGAAGGGTGTAGCCAGTGTACAGTCGGGCAGAGAAACAGAAGCAGTGCACATTCAGACTCTGCGGGGTCTGGTCAGAAGTGGCCCAATTGCTCACACCACTGCCACCCTCTTGCTCACAGCACACAGGTCCAATAGCAGGGAGAGGAGCTCGACCCATTGCACTGCACCCACAACAGGCCCAGTGGGCCTTCCTGTTGCTCAGTAGTCTACCAGTTCCTAAATTCTTCATAATTGCTCCTGGCCTGGCTCTGTAGTTTACCAATTCCAGAACCTCAGCTGGGACTCACGATCCTGTCTGAGCAAGAAGAGGGCTATCTGCACAAGACAGCAGACCCACTGTCTTGGATGGTTCTCCAGCTGACGTGAGAGCACTGAGCTGGGGCACCATGGGTGGTGAGCCACTCCAAATCAGCCGAGGGCAGAAAGAGGAGGAGAACCACACACTGGATTCTCACCCTTGGGATCTCTGCTCCCTGCCCCATGAGCGTCAGCGCTGCTGCCATCGCTGGGCTAGGTTAGGTCCCAGGGAGAGTCTGAGCTGCTCCTGGAATCAGCCTTCCTGTGGCAGGCTTCATATTTACAAATCAGGAAGTGCGTCCATGTCACCTCACCCATGTTACACCTGGTGTCTCCCTTCTTGGGCCCACAAATTTAGTACGGTGCTTATAAGCTCTTCTTCAGAACCACAGTACCTTCTGCAGGTGAGGTAGACCAACATGCTGCCATCCTGCATTTTAAATACTACTTTAACTCAAAATATTTTAATTTATTTTCATGATTTTATGATGAAAAGTTTCAAACATACAGAAAACTTAAAAGCATTGCACAATGAATGTCTACATACCTGCTGCCTAAATTCCACTGAAACTGTTCAACTACATTTGTTTTCCTTCACGTACCTCCTTTTTATTCCTGGTGTGTTTCAAGGTGAGTGGCAGGTGTGAGCACCCTGCCTGTAGCATGCACATCATTAACTGGTGGTCAATAATTGCTTGCAGATTATTTTTCCTTTTAAGGTAGAATTCATTTATAATAAAATGTACATGTCTTAAGTAGTCATTGAGTTTTGACGAAACTCCTCGTCCAACCCAAGCTAAGAGCATATAGACATCAGTGAGCCTAGACGTTTCCTCAGACTTCCCCGTCAGTCCTTCACATGGCCCTCCCTCCCTCGCCCCCACTCTCTGTCTTTCCACACGAGATTTGTCTTGCTTATCGACTTCTTACAGTTAGAGCCATAGGGGATGCACCCTTGTCCAGATCTCTCTCTCAGGAGTGTTTTAGAAAGTCACCATTCATTCTTGAATCCATAGCTGACTTCTCGTCTGTTGCTGACTACGGTTTTGCTGTGTGGATATGCCAGTTTGCGCACCTTGTCTCCTATTGTTTTGGGGCTGGTGGGTACTTAGGATTGAACTCAGGGACACTCAACCACTGAGCCACACCCCCAGCCCTATTTTGTATTTTATTTAGAGACAGGGTCTCACTGGGATGCTTAGCACCTTCTTTTGCTGAGGTTGGCTTTGAACTCATGATCCTCCTGTCTCAGCCTCTGACCCCCTAGGATCACAGGCATGTGCCACCGCGCCTGGCACCTAGTCTCTTACTGATGGAGATTCGGATGTTTTCACTTTTTGGCCATTGTGAATAGGACTACTAAGAGCAGGGTACCGGGGATAGTACAGCGCTCAAGTGCACACCACCCTCAGTTAACAAGTGCTAATACTTTGTCAGATTTCTCAAAATAACATTTTTAGAGAACTGTGACTCTTTCAGTGTAGACACATCCATTTACCAGGCCCACTCCTTTCCCCTCTCCCTCTCCAGGGCAAACACTGATGCATGTGGTGTGTGCCCTCCCTGCATGGGTCCCTGGTGCCACTTCCCATGCAAGCCTCCATAGCAACATGACAACCTTCAGAAGGACCCAGCACAGTGAGAACCAGGCCCCTCCTGCCATTGCCACCATCCTGTGGGACAACCTGCCGTTCCTTGTGGTCCATGTATCTAAGGAATGCATGCAGCAGGCCTGAGTGCCGGCCTGTGCGGGATCAGCCTGTGTGTGGTCAGGCATTCGTCCCTGCTGCCGCCCAGCGGCCTGGCCCTCTAGCGTGGTATCAGTCCAAGGTGCGTGCAGATGGAAGGAATGCAAAGCCTCTGGTCACTGGTGAGCTGCGTGGGGGACAGCCATGCAGGGGTGCTGCGCCCCGTGAGTCCCCCGCATGCTCCCGCGCTGTCGGCCTTTGTGCAGAGAGCTGTGTTTTCATGATCAGGAAGAAGAGATAACCTCTGAAAGACACTGGCGATGTGTATGAAGTACCCATGCTGCCAGTGGATGGGGTTTGTGCGCTGCGCAGGCTCGCGGCTCCCAGCGGGGATCCGGCAGAGCCCTCTCCTGGTGAGAAAGCCTGCCCGGGCCACATGCAGAGGGAGCTGCTCACCTGGAGCCAGAGCCTCACCTTCTCACCGGCGTTATGTGCGCAGTGAAGCCAGAGCTTCCTGCCGGGAACCCAAGCCTTGCTCAAGAGCTGGGGACCTCCCACGCCGTCCGTCCCAGCACCAATTCTCTCCAGCTTTTTGGTTTAGCCAAATGCTGTCTGTCTCTCCTGCAATGTGAGATTTTCCTTTTGTGAAAACTTGCTCTGCACTGGAGTCTCTGTGCTTTCCACAGAGATGAACAGATGAGGTTCGGCCAGCTGGTGGCCTGTCCCTGAAACGTTCGCTCTGGGCATGTACCCGACCGCTGCTCCTCCTCTCAGCCCCTCGGGAAGTCCTATTCCCAGACGTGAGGGTGCGATGGCTCTGGAGCCCTACCCCCCTCTGGGGCTGGCACCTGTGTGGGGAGTCACCCTTTCTCGGGACGGTACTGGCAGGAGCTGGCCACGGGAGCCCAGCAGCCCCGGGCTGCCATTGTGCTGAGCGAGACCACAGGCAGAGAGGAAGGCAGAGCCTAAGAGCCATGTAGGTGGTCAGAGAAGGACGTTAATGAAGCAGATCTGCAGAGCTGTCACAGCCGAGGAGCTGTCACAGCCGAGGTCCCAGTGAGGACAGTTTAAGGGTCAGAGCCACTCAGAGCATCAGCCTAGAGTGGTCCAGGTGTGGTCACTGTGGGCAGGAGAAACCTGCGGAAACCAGATGGAAGAGGAAATGGGAGGTTCGCTGCTGTGGTGATCAGCCAGGGCAAGGCCCCTGATGGGTGACAAGGTGACAGGGCCAGAGTCCCTCTATGCCCAGCCTTAGGGAGGCTCCTCCTTTGTGGGTCTTGAGCGGTGGGTTGTAATCTGGTGAGGCTGAGGAGCTCCTGGGTCTGGGTTCCTGACATGATTGGCATGGCACATGTCCGGGTGCTCCTGATTTAGGTTGATGAGTTGGCACATAAACGTTATGGATCAGGGGCTGGGATTGTGGCTCAGCAGTAGGGTGCTCGCCTAGCACATGTGAGTTGCCGGGTTTGATCCTTAGCACCACATAAAAAATAAATAAATTAAGGTATTGTCTCCAACTACAATTAAAAAAAATATTTAAAAAAAAAGTTATCAGTTTGTGCCTTATTGTGCTGCTGGGCAGATGGTGGTTCTTTACTTCTAAAACAAGATATGAATTATTTTACCTTGGCTCTTATACTCAAAATGGAGCAGCTCATGGCAAACTACAGTTTAACAAACAGAGTACCTCAGGGTAGGCACAGCCTGAGGACTGCTGTCCTACACTCCATGGAGTCACCCAGGGCAGGCACAGCCTGAGGATTGCTGTCCTACACACCTTGGAGTCACTCAGGGCAGGCACAGCCTGAGGATTGCTGTCCTACACACCATGGAGTCACTCAGGGCAGGTGTAGCCTGACGACTGCTGTTCTACACACCATGGAGTCACTCAGGGCAGGTACAGCCTAAGGACTGCTGTTCTACACACCATGGAGTCACCCAGGGCAGGCACAGCCTGAGGATTGCTGTCCTACACACCTTGGAGTCACTCAGGGCAGGCACAGCCTGAGGACTGCTGTTCT